GAATCTGTCACGATGTATGCAATTTTATATTCATTTTACGTCTTCATGCTGATTTCTTAATTACAGTAATGTTATTTTAATAATGCGAAAAAAAATTTAATTTTCTGCATTGATGCTATTTTTTGTTAATAAAAGACACGTTTAAATGACTGTATTCGTGGCTGATTTCTATTAGAAATTTTTTTCTAAAAACACGGTATGATAGTGTGGAAGAAATTGACCACCAGAAATGCAGTCTTAATGATCAACTGTAAGTTATAATGGAGGTGAAGTTGGCATGGCATTTTAATTAGACGATCATTCATCCAGATTTTAATGACTTTTCCACAATTGTTTGAAAGTTTTTTTAGTTATGATTACGTTCTATTTAAATGACTTTTGGCTTATGCGATTTTTCGTCATTCTTTTGAGCTATGGAACTATTTCTATTCCTATAATTCTCGTGGTTTTTTATGTTCGTCGAAGAGCTGCCGGTAAGACATGTTTTTATGAGATATTTCGTGAAATTTTATTATTAATCCATATGTCAGATTGTGGTGAAATAATGTAAATTATTACCATTTATTCATTTAATAAAAAAACATTTTTAGAAGATGGCTTCCAGCCCAAATCACTGTTTTATTCATTTTTACGCAGCTTTGCGCTTGGGAAACCTGAGTATGGATTGATGATTTCTGACTCCGTAAAATTGACCTCAATTGTTTCGCAAAAAAATCTCCGTGATGACTCTCTTCATCTTATTTTATGTTTTTCATGTCTTCAATTCACTCTTATTTTAATGGGTTACATACAAGAACGGATTATAACACAGGTTTTTAAATTTTATGCTCACTGAATGACTTTTATCTATAGTTTACTCGTTCTGAGAATTTGAACTTCTAATTGAATGTGTCAATTTTTTGTTTTCATCATAAATACATTTTTTACATGAATATAAAGCGTTATGCTAAAGAATGAAAATTAATGGGTTGGATGAAACATTCTGGTGAAATGACCTATTTCTAAATTAGATAAGTATTTTTCAGAACCAAGCTGAAAGAATTGATTGTTTTTATTTCAGGCTTACTTATCAATTGTGGATGATCAGCTAAACAAATTTGAAAACACTCAGTTTCTTGTTTTCATAAATCGTGTTTTTGCCGTTATCCTATGTGCAGTTTATCTGATTTTAAACTGGAAAAGGTTGTTCTATAATTTATTTTCTTAGCGAAAATTTTGTGAAATTTTTTGTTGAATATTATTCGAAATCTTTTGTGATTTGAAAAGAATTTGCATTAATAAAAATAAATGAAGCAAAAGAAGAAGCTTTAAAGTTTCTAATTTATTACAGAGAACCTCCTCATGTTCCACCATTTTATAAACATTCATTTACATCATTTTCTAATACGCTTTCATCGTGGTGTCAGTATGAAGCCCTTAAATTCGTTTCTTTTCCAACTCAGGTACTTTTCAGAAATTATTGAAACTAAAATAAATCATTGTGAAATAACTACAAGTCCTTGTATACTTATAATTCCAAAAAAATGCAATAAAAATGGAACTCGTTGTCAGAAACAGAGAGATAAAATTTTAATCTTCCAAAATAAATGAAATAATGTGCTTTGAGACAGTGTGCAAAGCATCGAAAGTGTTACCGACAATGTTGATGGGCTTTATTGTCAGAGGTGAACGTTATAAATGTGGAGAGTGCGCTTGTACTATTATGCTTGCGTTTGGAGCGACGTTGTTTGTTCTATCAAATAGCTCTAAGGAACATACATCTAACGGTTATGTTTTTACGTCTTTAAAAAGTGTTTGCAAAAAAATTAATGGTTAAGAAGTTTCAACAATTTTAAGGAATGGATAGAACAAGAAAATGTTAAGCTCCCTTCATTTTACTAGAAAATAGAAGTGTATAGAGTAATAAGTAAAAAGTAACCGAGTTGAAAGATATGAATTTTACTAGTTGCCTTGGAGTTCTTATCCGTATTTTATAAGTAAAAGACACTTAACAAAAAAATGGATCAGTTTGCCGAAATATTTTTTTTTTTTTCTTAAAACTTCAATTTTGTTGATCTGCATCAAATTTATATAGACATCGCTGGTAATTTCATGAAGTTATAGCAGTTTTATCTTCCGATCATGTAAATACTATTTCTGGAATTTGTTTGATGTCCGGTTATCTTTTATTTGATGCTTTCACTTTGAACTGGCAAAAAAAACTCTTTGATGCTCGGCCACGAGTTTCCAGATACCAGGTCTTTCAATGAAATAATCTTTTTTAATGAAAATTCATGAAATCACTAGCTCAGAGCAAGCTAGCTTTCACTAATTGAAGTTGACATAATGGCTAATATGAGCTACATTTTTTAATTTTCTTTGTATTGCGAATTGACTGACGTTGTTTAACTGAAACAAATTGAATGGGCTCTATTTATAGCGGATATTAAAGATGAAAAATAAATAATCGAAGCAATTAGACTTGTCTTTTAAAGGAGAAATTACCATAGCAAGCACAATCATCTGCTTTCTGAATAAATTTAATATTTAAATTTCAATCATGTTCACTCATTATTGTTTAGATGATGTTTGGTGTGAATGTGTTCAGCATGATATTGTGCTCTGTAACACTTATCGAGGAAGGAACGTTTCTGTCGTCATTCCATTTTCTAATAACTCATAAAGGATTTGCCCGAGATATATTTTTGTTGTCTTTATCGGGTGCTCTAGGACAGGTTCATTTAAGTTATTTAAATGAAAGAGAAAATGAATTAGGACGAATTTATTTCTAGTCACTGTATAAGTTTTATACTAAGAATAGAAACATAACTTTTATAATTCATTCAATATTTCGGAGAACGAAAGTTTCTATTTCTATTTTTTTCTTTAATTTCTGAATCGTAACTTATTTAGAACTTTTATACGATCTCAAAAACCACGTCCTCTCCAGATTTATCCATAACATAATGCAGTTACTTCATTATTTTCATGCGGATTCATAATCTCCTTAATAAATCTTTTCATTAAAAGGACTTGGATCCTATATTTTTTTGAGGATTTAATATCGTGAACTTCTTTTCAGATTGTAATTTACACAACTATTGAACGATTTGGGCCTGTGATATTTGCGGTGATGATGACACTGCGGCAGATACTTTCTATATTACTTTCAGTAGTAGCTTACAATCACCCAATGTCTGTTTGGTCTATTTTTAGCTTATTAATAACATTTACTGCTATTTTTGGCACTATTTATGCTCGCCGTCATCATACTTTACAGAGCAAACATTAGATTTTGTATTACTCAGTTTTGAAGTTGCTCACAACTATTACCTCTCCATGTTCCAGATAGAGAATTTTTAAATCTAGTCCTTCCCATGTTAGCTTGAAATTTATTAAATTTATCTGATCTGTATGGATATACGAGACTTCTCTTGAGAACCAAATGATCTCGCTGTTCTTTCTAGAGCAGTTTTGACCAATAATAAATTACAAGTTGGTATAATTTTATAATAATTTATTAACTTAGTAGTTTTAATACCCGAAGTACTTGAATTCATATTTGTAAATATTGTGTCTTTGCACTTTTTTCATATCCATACCATAAATTTCATTATAAATCAATCCCTAGCTATATCCAGGAAATTTACTGAAACACGAGGAAAGAGCAGAGCATACTTTCTACGTCCGCCTTTCAATATGAGTTCATTCAGGCAGCTGACTCAATTCACCAGCCATTAAATAGTCTTTTGCAAATGGTAAAAAATCCTCAACTCATCCAGGAAGTTGGAGACAGCTAACATCGAGAACAGATAAAATGTTGAACAAATATGGATATAATCCAACTGCAGGTGGAGTAGCCTCTGTTGCTCTATTTTGTTATTTCATATATTCGTTAAAAAAAAAAACTATAATTAAACCGACTTTGAAATCTTGACACTGAACTCCTCCAGATACTTTTGGTTTCAACGATATTCAAAATTGTGAGCTGAAACCATTCAGATTTAATGAAGCATTATGCTACTGTTTGAAATAATTCATACTAAAGCATAAAGAACAATGAACACTGATAACGATCGCTTATAAAATAAGAACTTCTAACAAAAAAAAATAAGATAAAAGGAAAGAACTAGTTAATTGCAATATTGGTGTTTAACCGCAGGTCTAAAGTGCAGTTAAATCAATCAGTCGAATTCCAACCATAGTAATACTGGACGGATAATAGTTCAATCTCATCCTGGGACATTTACTTCGAAAACTGACCTTTACACCTGAATCTTCATTTCCATAGAAAATCCAAATCAAAAACTGTACACTTGAAAGAGACAAAGTTGCACAAAGTTAACAATAAATGAATACATCCCAAACATGCGCTAAGATAGAGAATTGCAAGTTTCCAAAGTAAGGGATGGAAACGAATAAAATACAAGCAGAGCTGATATTTGAAATTCTCCAATGTAACAAGATACTTGGCAGCAGAGAGAATGCTCTTAAGGAATGCCACCAAATTCAGTTACTAAACCGCAAGTTTCATAGTTCTGGTGATTCCAACCGAAAGTTCTGTTATTTCATAGTACTTAACAACTTTGTTCAAACTCTCAAGAATAAATTCCTATTAACCGAATAAATAACACGAAACGAGTATTATCACAATGCTTACATTTCGATATTTACTACCACAAGGACGACAATAGTACAAGAAGAGAAAATGACAATTTCGAAAGTAAAATATATACCAACAATGAAAGACCTCAGTTACACAATGAATTTTGTAATTAGATTAACCCAAAGTTACTTTGAAAATCTAACAAGTTTGCGCGAAATTTACTTACTCTATCCGAAATTATCGCACAGATATACTAGTTACCTTTAATTACACCTCACCATAACTTTTTGACCAAGGATAATACAACACGGCTGAATAATTGTTGAAATAAAAAGCTAGTAATAAAAAAATCATAAAATATCAGGACTTTTACTTTCCAGCTAGAACGGCCAAACTAGTTTGAAATAAGGAGACATCAGCCAGCCAAAGTACTCTCATGTCCAGTTAGTATGCATAAATCACATAAATCTCCGGCTGCAGATGTTTCTCTCCGTTTTAAAACCACCAATCTGGAAATGTAAATACTTTACTTTAGCAGTCTGGAGACCCAATTAATTAGTGTAAATAATAAGCTTTTTTTAAACGAAAGACAAAACAATAATAATTCTTATCAAATTCGAAAGTCAGGACATTTTATAGTATATACTTCTTATCAATATAAACACAGGAACTAACTTATCACTCCCAACAACTTGATATATGTTATTTGGATCATTGATGTCCTGCGTAATTGAGCCATCAACAAAAGCACGACCCTGAAATTTCTGACTCCTTTATCATTTCTACAATTTCTACTCTTCCTATCATAATTATTTCCTCACTTTACTGTTTTATTACAAGCCAGTTTTACTAATCGCTATCAGAGATGAATATTTCAAATTTCAATACCTGTACGCCATGTGGATAAAAAGCAAGAATTGAATCTGAAAGCGAAACAAGATTTTCAATTTGAAAACCAAATTTGAACTGTGCTGGCGAGAGACGAGACGATTTAACAACTCCTATCTGATTGATCACAACACATCGATTTTCATAGCACAATAACAATGCATCCTAAACAAATGTTTCAGACACCGTGAACTTTAAATGCAGGTTAACAAAATACGCTTTAAAAAGCAATGTTTTTCTCATAGAAACAAACACTTTTACTACATAGTAAGTTACTCATAAATGACTCTTATGAACACTGCTCTTGAGTAACGTCAATCAATTTCAAAATATTGCATTTAAAAAAAAAAAAAAAAAACCCCACCCTTTCAACTTGTTTTAACGCGACAACGCTAAGACAAACAGCTTCTGTTCGATCTTGTCCATCCAAGTCACAATGCACACTTTCGTCATTAAAATTCACATAATGAAGGTGAAATTTATGTCCTACCCCCTTGTATACTGCCAAACAAACCTGCAGATAATGCATAAATCTTTAAAGGCATGTAGTTGCTTATTACGAATAAAAACATAAAAATATTTTTAAAAAAATGCTTCACAAAGTGTTTTAAAACCATACTTTTGGAAAATCAGCATCTGTCCCGGCAGAATATATCAACTGAAAAGGTCGAAGTGGGAAATGAGGAATGCGCATTTCAACTGTCTTCAGTATTAGAAATTTAGCCAGTGGTTCGTACCACTGGAATAATATTACAGCAGATGGTGTTGCACAACAGAGATATACATTACCATTTACACCACTTCGAGCTACATTGCAATGGATAACGTCTCTATAAGTTACAATTTACTTGAAAACATCAAGATGTTCACAGATCCTTGTAAACACAAAATGAAAAGCTCAGTATAAATCAACATAAATCTTACAAAGACATACTTGGTTTCAGGTAAGCGTGTTGTTATAGCAAGTTTCTTTGGTAGGTACTTCTCAGGAATCTTATTCATTGGTTTTGATATTCTTTGTGTAAGATTTCGCTGAGACAAAGCAACTAAGTCATGACGGTAAAGATAGGGAGTTCTCCCTAAAATATTATCTCATAAATTTCAAAGACTTAGCAAACATTTAAATGAATTTTCTGCAGAGCATATTCGACTTATATTGTTCACGAATAAACATCATCAATATCGAAATATAACTATGCATTTCTCCAAATCCATTTTCAAGCTTAAAAACTGAAAGGAAAATCAAACCTTGTACGGCCATCAAAGTATTTTTCTGCACATACAACCATGAACAGCGTCGTTTATGTATCAAAAGCATTGCTGCTTCATGCAATTCATCCATGTCCAATGTGAAAATACCCTCTTCTGCACCAATCAGCAAAAATTGTCGTGAAGTATTCGGATGAATCCATGTTGCGGTGCTATTTATATGTAATGGACAATCATGGAAAATAAGCGAAAAACATGCACCCATCGCGACCTATACAAGTATAGATTTTAAATGGCATAGGATTTATGGAAGTTTTTTAAAACTTATTAAATAGACTCTTCATAAAGAATTTCTTTAATAAATCAGCAGCATATATTTGCATTTATACTTTAGGAAATACCTTTGGTGTCGGTGGCAGTCCGAAACAGGTCTGAGGTCGTTGAAGAACATAACTTGAACACCCATTAACCCGATGTCTAACTTGCTCATTTAGATATGGATCGGAATGTGGTGATTCGAGTGATGAACATCGCTTTATTGGTTGTTTAGTACGTGGTGGACGTTGAGGCATAAAAAAATCCGAACCCGAAGAACCTGAAATGGTATTATGAATGAATATGAAAGTTTCTTATAAGTAATGGGGAGTAATAAGAGTAAGAAAATGACTGAACAGAATTTTTAGATATCCATCGATAACTACGTCATGAACCAGAAATAAACAAATACCATAGTTAATAAACAAAAATACACAATTAAATGAAGCACGTTAAAAAACATTACCATTAATTTGTTCTGATGAACACAAGGTTCCATCGTCTGTGTCATGTATAACACCATCATTATCATTAAGCAACGATAACGCTTGCACAACATCTGGTAATGGCGGATGTTCTTTGGCAGGGAGTGTGCGATCCTTAAATATAGATGAAAAATTCACATGTATTGATCTTATACAAAACATGTTGTTATAACTGCATACTTCAACTTCCGATTGTAATGAAAAACGGGCCTCGTGATAATGTCGACCTAAATTCGATATGGAGACTTCTGAAGTTGATGGCTCTCCCCAAATTCGTGCCATAAGTGCATTTGCATCGTCACATACACGTATTGCATCTTGCGCAGCACGAGGATATGCATGACCACGTGATTTAATTCGCGATATTGTCAATATTTCGCCCTGAATAAGCAACAGAAAAGCAATCATAATGCAAAGAAAAGAGTTCATTAATTATTAAAGTTCATTAATTACCATAAAATGAATACAAACAGCATTAAATACTGTTTAAGATAAACCTCTTCATCTTCATCCGTATACACTGCAGAAACCTGTCTAACAAATACGGAAGCGGAGGAGATACCGCCAGGATTGTTAACTTTATCCAGCAGATCTCGAGTCATTCGAGAGGAAAGCGCTCCAAGAACAAAGTGATGACTCTGAAATAAGGAACGAGTTCCAATCTGGATTTGAACATAACTGTAAAAAATAAAAGTTTTCCGCAGCAAAGCAACAAAAAATGATTTTCTTAATAATTTCTGAAACCATACGGCTAAGAGCTTTTCTGGAGTTGGTCTTTTTTTCGGATTTTTCGTTAAACACTGTTTAATAAAATCGTGGAAAAATGGTGACCTGGAAAACATAAGTGAGAATAAAATAGAATGACACAGACACTTCAAGATGTTAATTCAAACGATTCATTAGTAATTACCAAGATCGCAAATAACAAATGGAATTATCTAAAAAATGCTAACAATTGTCAAAAGTCTCCTTTAGAAGACAGGTTCAAAATTGTGATCAGGGATAGCAATCACGCAAATCTTGTGGGATTAAATGGTACATTAAGTGGTTACAACATTGAGAGATAAGGCAATAAATTTATTTTTTGACAGGAACACTTTCGATTCGAACTTCATTCAAATCAAGATAAAAGTAAATAAGAATTGTAAATACAGTTCTTACCACTTATATTTATCTTTAAGTGTTGGTGATTTATAAGACGACTTCGTCATAAGGTACAAAACTTGCATAGGATGCAAATCAAACAGTGGTGGTTGCAATTCAGCTAGTTCAATTGCTGTAATTCCAATGGCCCAAACATCGCATTCCACACCATAACCGCCTCGACGTTCCACACATGCTACTTCTGGTGCCATCCTAATAAGGATGGTACAACAGAATTTCCCAAAAATTAGGGTAAAATAAGCAAATAAATTAATCCTGAACTACATAAACTGCTGAAAATATATTACTTACCAATAAGGAGTACCGATGAATGACTTCCGTTTTCCAATAGTAGCGGTAATTTGTGCAGCAATACCAAAATCAGCTGAACAAAGACATGAACTAAAGTTCAACAAACATCAATTTCTAAAATCAATGTTCTCATAAACCCTAGAATGTACCACTTACCAAGTTTCACATCACCAGAATGGGTAAGCAGTATATTTGCTCCTTTTATGTCCCGATGTACCATACCTTTCGAATGCAAATAGTGAAGACCCTTCAGCGTTTCACGACAAACAAATGCTATTTGTAGCTCTGACAGAGGGCCAGTCACTTAAAAGAAATTTTTATAAAATCTTCATGTAAGGTAGGATTTTCAGTAATACCCTTTCAAATTCCAAATACGAAAAAATATTGTTCATATTATTCAAATTCAATTGTAGCATGAATTTGTCCCCTTTTAATTTCATATGCACATGCTACAAAAGAGACTGAAATAATAAGAATCCTAGTTTATTACTACGACACGAAAGTGTACTATCTCGGTTGCTATTGCCGAGAATGAAGTTCAAATGCGAAAGACATACTGCTCTATTTTGAAAAACTAAATTACGTCAAATGTTATTTCAATTAAAGGTGACGACACTTGCGACATAATTCGCAAAATAGACGTCCCATTATCAACATCAGTTAAAGTTCTAAAGCAAGGCAAAGTAACAGCATACTGTGATAAATGTCTTGAAGCGAGCCACCACTACAATACTCCATAACAATCCATAGCCGATCACGACGCAGATAACTGCCATGATATGCAATTATATTTGGATGCACGCAACCACGTATCATCAAAATTTCTTGCTGAATAACAGCGAAATTATCACCAGCTTCCAGTTTCACCACCTTCACTGCAGATAATTCGCCTGTCCTGTAAAATATTTCGAAAATTAGTCAGGGCTGACAAATCAGCGAAACAAGGTTAAATTACAGATATCAGAACAACTTCAATGTGATTTAATTACAACCAGATTTTTGAATTTTTGGCTTACTTCTCACTAATTTTTAAACTTGTAAAAGTAAAGAGTTGAGATTTACTATACAAATAACACATATGACCTGATATGTTTAGCCTTGTAAACCTCGCCATATGTACCTGAACCTACTCTCTGTAACAACTCGTAATCATCTGTTGGATCGGCTCGTTTAATGACATCTAAACTCATCTGAAATTTAGTAGTATATTTTTACCTTATTCAATGGTATGGACAAACACTAATAACTGCTTTAACAACAGAAACCCACTGTTTTTAATAAAATCGCCAGAGACTGGATATGTAGAATAGAAGGAAATGCTGACAGATGTTGCGAAATTGAACTCACAGATGTTTTTCAAAATGCTGAATGGTACTACAAGCCATATTACTCTCTCCTTGTAGAATAATGCCGCATGTCTGCAACATATTTAAGGAATAAATTAGTCCTCCGACCAAGAAACCAAGAAATAATTACTATATTTGATCGTTAGTAACCATCAATTCTTGAGAAATGAATTCAGACATCCCAGTTTAGAAATTAATAAAAAGTTAACGCTAATAATATTCATCTGAAGTCTGAAGAAGAGAAAGGCCATGATTCTGTTTTATTATGAAGTTCTGGATTAATTGGTTATCCACTACAAATATTACTTTCATACGATTCTATTATGAAGTTCTGGATTAATTGGTTCTCATTCACTACAAATATTACTTTCATACGATTCTTTCCCTGTACATTATGCCTTACCTCACCAACCTTGAATCAGAATTTGAAGGAAAAGAATGAATAAGTAAAGTTTTTGAAAAGGACACCAGCAAAATTATTATCGATATGTCACTTTAAAATCTTAGCTCTTATGATATTTTTAAATAACTTCCGATCTTCATTATCTTTCAATTTCTATCGTTCTTAACCATTACTTGCTGGTACAAACTTATCAAAAAGGATTCTGTTATATCGTTCATAGTTCTGCTCAGATTTCAAATAATATATTCAAATCTCAAATAATAAATTCTGAGAAGACTTACGACCTAACACTTCAACATACATTCGAAAATAACCGTAAGTTCAAGCATTTCAACTAATAGTGAAAATTTGCACAATGATAACAACACGCAATAACTTCATCCCAAAGAGTGACAGGCGGGTTGTAATGGAAATATAGTCATCCCGGAGTATGAGTATCAACCAACATTTATAGCTGGGAATGGTTAATTTTTGATTAGATTTTAAGGTGAGTACGAATCACGTGAAATAAGGACGAAAGAGAAATAAAAGATAATAACTGTTCCAATGAATAAAAACAAAAAGTTCGGTTTGGAAGAACGAAAAATGTTTCAAGAACTGGTCTAATACAAAGTTCGAAGCAAACTAAAATGACTAAAATACAATTTAGTCTTACGGCTTCAGTCACTCTTCCTTAGTTATTGAAACGTTTGCGAGGGAAAGGACTGTCGAAAGGAAAAAAAGGGAGAGAGATGTTGCGAGACGGAATCACTTCCAGTTCAATTCTAATGGTGTGAATTATTGACCTGAAGCTCAAAATTGTAGGAACTCACACTTGGAATCTTTTAATCTTAAATTAAAGTTGAACTTTTTTTTATTTACTCAAAACTTTTCAACATAAAATTTATGTCATGCTAAATCGTGAAATTATTTTCTTCGCTTTTCCAAACAGAGCATTCAGTGATGAAAACATCATTACGTAATTGAGGAAGTCTGTCTCATAGAATTATTCCAACCATTTATCGGTAACTAAGTTATCAGCGAATATAAGAAATGGAAACAATAAGGAATTGATTTGACTCAAAAGCACAGTAACAATTAATATGTGATCAATACGTAAACCCAAGTGGATGCTTGCATAATCATGTGACATGTGACATGTAATTGAGGAAGTCTGTTTCCGCAAGGAAGGAACAACTGCTGCAGCATTCTGATGAAGAAGAAGGGAGAGAAATGCGCAGAAGACTTAGAGGCAATTGAGCAGATTGATATATTCGGTGTTCGTCTGCTTGTAATTCACTCCGATCCTCTTTCTCCTCCTTCTTCATTCATTTCTGATAATTTCTTATTCCTATATACTGTTATTATTGCATAGAAGTAAATGTTTGTCAGTTTTGCACTAATTGAAATAAAAAATAAAAATTACGAATTGAATTGTGCTTAAATTCAGTCTTGAAACAACAGATTTATTGGTGGAAATATGAGAGAAATTTGTAAGATAAGAAAGATGAAGGAAGAGGAACTTGTATAAGTTTTAGCGGAATATCTGAGAAATGAGAACTTTTACGACTGATCAATTGATCAGTAGTTAGAAATGTGTGCTTTATAAATTCAGCACTTCTGTTATGTCAATATCAGCTTCAGATGATATTATTCAATTCTGTATGGTAGCTTACAACATTAGCAATAGTTAGACTCTCCATGTGTAAACCGAAGGAGAAGGATGTCAAGAATGAATCTCACGAGAAAGAAATGGCTATGATCCATAGGGATATGAATAAGCTTCAGAAATAGAATGAAGGAGAGGAGGATATATTGTAAGTTGATTTCTTTGCTTTTATTCATTTCAATTTTGTATTTCTTTTCTCTGTTCTGAAATGAAAATGAGGAAAGACATACATAAAATGAGTGTAGAATTTTTGAAAAGCGTGGAGAAATCTTTAAAATAATACGTGAAAATCCAATTTCTGATATTGTTTCTTGACTTTAGAATATGCTAATTCTTCTATATCAATATGATTTTTCCAATTTAATGAAAGTCATTTTTGAAATTTTCCTTAATGTCGCCACTGCAACATATTTTTACAAACTTCTTTCATTCCTTTTCCCTTATTTAGTCTTTTTCAGCTATGTCATCTCACACATACAGGTGAGATAAAACCCGTTTTGTCGTACTTTTCTTGAAAACAATTGCTATCTCGTAACCCTCTAATAATGTACGCATCATTCTTCTATTAATATTGTCATGAATATATGAGAAAAGCGAATCAACAAATTATAGAGAAACAAGGAAAGAAAGAAAAAGCTGCCAAAAGTATTTCTCATTTCTTTCTTTATTTGACTTGTAAATTTTATTTTGATGATGCTTGATGAGTAAATCATGATAGATTCTAATGTTTATCTTGAACTGAATTAGTGGTTATATCCTTGGCTATTACCGCCAACGGAGAGAAGAGGAAAAGAGATCAATGGGCGCTCTTCTTTAATTCATTAACTACTTATAACTGAGGGAAGAGATATGTAGGATACTTTGGCTCCCATATTGTAAGGCATAAATCGATCGTTTAGCGTTCAGCACCATTTTTTCCGTTTTTCTTTTTTGTTTAATCCTCTGATGAAAGTAATCTTTCGAAGACTTCAATTCTTTAAATAATCTGAAAAGTAGCATGGAAGAAAAAAGGATGGGAAAATAAAATTTTAATTTTTTACATAATCCTTCGAGAGTGATTTCATAACAATCATCACCAATCTGCGTTATTTATTTTACCACATTTTATCGATTCAAAAAATGGCCACTACTCACAGATTAATTGTTCAGTCGTTTACTTCTGGCAACGCTCTAAACAATAAGTGATCTATCTCTTTGTATAATTATTTTCATTATTTGGCTGACAACTTTTAATTGAATTAAGAGCTTCTGCCCAATGTTTTTCTCTTTAGTACATCCATTGTACAACTGCAGTGACTGACTCATTGGCTGCTTTTCTTCCAATGAAATGTTTGGTGCTGTTTTGCTGTGAAGTATTTTCATCGCAACCCACAACACATATACATTGCTCCTTGTCGAATTTCTGATAAAAGCACCTGCTACTTCTTCGGTCGCAACAATCCGCTTTCTTTAAAGTTATACTTCTTTTAGTTCTTTTTTAACTAATGCAGTGTATTTCTTCTTTCGCTGCTCTTACTTATCACTGTTTTGCGTAAATTTCTTTGTTAGGACTTCGGGAAGCATAACCTAATTCGGAAGCCATTATAGTGGATTTATCATAGATCTGTCATCATAACTGATTGATTTCCGGATATAGTATTAATTTATTGTCAATATGATTTTATTCCTTTTCCAGCTTTTTTTTCGGAAGAAAAACTTTCATAACTTTTAGGAATGTTAATAAGTAATGGAGTAGAGTGACAGAGTTGTATATTCAGGATTAGCAGGCCCAAAATAGTATTTCAGTACAATGCTTATAGGCGTAGACAATGCCGATCGTAAGCCGGACAACTGTCACGACAACTCGTACGACTGGTTTTCGAAGTTCAACAATTCCTGTTTGGGTTATTAAACTACTTACTGTAGTTAGTTCTTAACTTCGAGTAGGACTAATTTTCAAATTTGATCTTTTCAGCAGTTTAAGTTATCATTTGATCAGTTGGTTGTGAACCAAAGGAAAGCGTGTCTTTGTAGACTGAAGACAGTAAAGCAAATAACGGCTTCACCCTTAATACTAAACTGAGGAAATCGGCTATGGATACACTGAGGATGAAATTGATGTTTCTTGATTTAAAGCTCTACTTATCTTTATCCTATTTTCGATTTTTACTGCTTCTTGCAAAAAACTACCGTATTGAAGAAAGCCGATGGACTAGCATAAATAAATTGTTCAATATTTTTATATGATATATGAAGTATAATATCATAAAATCAGCAACATTTTTATTTAGATCATTGCGCTGGTTGTAATACTACTAGTTTATTTACAAGACAAGGGTGTTCGTGCGAGTTACTCCACAACTTACATTATTATCGCACTTACTTGTGGATTGTTACTTGGATGGAGTATTGGTTCTGTCCTACAACAAATATTTTTCATCAGGACTGTTGTAAGTTTTTGTGATAATTCGCTGAGGTAAGAGGGAGCAAAGTTCATGAAATGGAAAAGTATATAAGCAATAAGAATGGAAGTGAAAAGAAAAGAGGGGAATAAGTGTGAGCTTAAATGAATAAGCAAGTGTTCTGTTGCAGATATGTTAAGGTTCTGTAGTATACTTTTCTTATTTTATTATTATCCCATCTTTTTCTACTATCACTACAAATACTGCTACCACATTACTATCATCTTCAACAGTACCATTTTAAATCGCTGTTAGTGTTGTGATCGTAGCTGATAGCAGACAGTAGACAGCAGTGATAGTAACAGTGGTTGCTTTTATGCTATGAAGTAATTTAAGTTTTTTGCATTTGTAG